AAAAAAAATTGTAATAAAGTATAATGATAGTTATTTGTCTAAGGCATAACTTAAGTAAATTATATCATAAATAACAAAGAATTAAGGGAATACAAAAAAAAATCTGTGTTAAAAAAATGCTACAATTTAAAAAAAAAAACATCACAGTGAATTCGTGACATAGTGGGAACGTTGAACAAATGTCTATATTTGTCCCAACTATGCCAGACAACTATGTTTAATAATGATTAAAATCTATCCTAAAAAACGCTTCGATGAAAATCTGTAGATAATGTTTAATTTCATTCTTAATAATAAGTTTTATGATTTATAAGTATAATGAATACATACTATAAAAATGAAATTTAGTATGAAAATCATCTTCAATAATTGATATTTTTCGGAGAATTTAAAAAAAAATATAAAGTAGTTATTACTTTTATGTCAAACGTAATTGGTAGATAGAAAATTTTATTAAAGTAAAAAACCTTTTATTTCAAATTAATATTGTAATTTGTGCGAAAAAATTACAAAATGTTATAATGCAGTAGTATATTTCGTCATCTCTATGGTATAACGCTTATTAAAATTTCTAAAAAAAGAAAAGAAAGTTAAAATTCTTAACCTTCTAATAATTTAATTATTAAATAACAATTTTAATAAGATTAAAATCTTAGTTAAACGAGACAATTTTTTTTGTAACCTTATTACATGTAATTTAATATATATTTAAAGCTCACAGTATTTCAGAAAAATATTCAAAACTTAAGTTGAAAAAGTTTACTTTTCATGCAAAAAAGGTCAGTTTAAAAAAAAAAATATATGTTCTTGTGAAAGGTAAATACCTAAGATATATTTGAAATAAAAAATACAATTGTTTTAAATCATTCAATTTTAATAAAATAATGACAGTTTTAAGAAAAAAATTTTCTTTTAAAAATGCAGGAATTTTCCGATTTTAAAAATGTAATTTTTTTTTGAGAATTTCTTCCTTTTACAGGGAACGAGGGAAATTTTTTCAATTTTTAAGTTTAATTTTTTCATTTAAGTACGATAAGTGATTTTTGACATTTTTCTGAAAAATCGATTTAGTAAAAGCTGTAAAAAGGGGAGGCAGTCACAAAAAAAATAAAAATAAACACATCATAGTAAACTCTTTTACTTTCTCAACTCTGCGTCGAAGCTATAAAATTCCAAAAAGTGCATGTGTATAATATATATTTTTAAGTAATTTTTGATATTAAAATAATTAAGAGTGTATAAGATTATTTCATATGAAATCCTTATATTTAGTGCTACTAATCTTATTACATATTTAAGAGTACAAATTTATCCGAGAAAACATAATTATTTATATTAGATCATTGGATAATAGTTAAATGATTATTTGTAATTCTATAGCTATAAAATATCTTTAATTATATTTCCTATTAGAAAGTATATAATAATTGGTATTTTTTAATATAATTTATTTCAAACAAGATCATTCTAAATAAAATAGGGTTACCGTGAGAACAGAGTCTGGCGTATTTTATTCATGTGACGTGTAATAATAAAATATATTAAATGTGTTGTGTTTACAAAATAGAATTAATTTCATTAAATTTATTATTATTTATTTCTGTATATTTTACGACTACCGGTTTATGACTTTTTTCATATGGACATTTATATAACACGGGTGAAAACGTATTTAAATTAGTGATTTTTTCCGTATATTTTATGGGGATGTTAACACGGTCTGATAGACTTTTACCGGATGTTATACTTTGGACATTAGTATAGGATTTCCGGAGCATGCGCAAACCCTCTTAGTGTTTTTATATTTCATTTTTTTTATTGTAATGTAACAAGTATTTTACTGTGATGTAGCTATTCGTAATGACGAGCAGTGTAAATCTGATGTAGATGACTATGTTATTATCAATGGCACGGTGATTCGCTTAATTCTTCTAGAGACACGTTATAAAATCAAGTTCAAGTACTGTGACAATTCGAGTCTTCCTACTTATTTTAAAATCTATTTACAGATAAAAAAAAATGGTTATAACCCTTAGAAAATAATTATTATATCCTTGACAGTATAATAGAATTAATTTTTATTTCATGTATGGCTATTTTTTCTTTTGAAATTTTATTTGATAAAATTTAATTTTTTTTTATTGAAAGTTTTAATGCTTATAAGGTAAGCCAAAACAATTAATTTTTTAAATTTCATTATTAATAAAATTATGTGATTTATTATTTGTTTTATATTTATATACTTTATTGATATATTTGTAAAATAACAGTAATTTTAGTTACAATTAATAGATGCATATTTTGATTGTTTAACTTTCAATATACCATTTTAAGGAATTATTTTAGTTTGATAAAAAAAAAATATTTTATTTTAGATTTTTCTAATTATTCACTTACAGTATGTTTTTCTAATAAAATTAGAACATTAAATAATCCACTTGTTCATTTTCTTATTTTCTAGTGATACATATGACAGTTATTTCAACTCTACAGTATTATCACTGTATATTTCTAAGGGTTCAAAAAAATAATTACGTAAAAACTTGCATTCGTAGGGGATAATGCGTTTTGAATCTTATAATGTACATTGAATGATGTTTTGTGTGGTTTAAAGAAGCATAAGTTGGTTGGTAGCGTAAATCCATCATGTTGTTGAGCACGTTCCGACCGGTCATTTTTTTTTCTTTTCTCGTTTGTGTGATCATCAAGCGCCGACAGGTGAAAATTACACGTTTCGATGAACGGCAGTGGACCATAGGAATAACACTTGTTGCTACTTATAAAGGTGTGTGGTAGCACAGTGGTTTTTACAGAGGTTAACAGGAGAGAAAAAATCCGGCGCGCGCCACCGACCACTTGTAATTTAATCTGTCTATTCCACAGCTTCAGATAAATATGTGTGTTGACGACGTGTAATTGTGACCAACAGACCGGAAAATATAAATCCGCAGTCCATTTGTTAATAACAATATAATGGTTGTGTTCTAAAAATGAGTTTAATAATCAAACGAATTATCTCGTGAGGATTCTTAAAAAGAAAAAAACACAATAAAAATAATACATTTAAAGCTTACTTATTAATCCTTTTAATAATTTTATATCATTTAGTATATTTTAATAATAAAAATTAATGTATCAGTTAATTTAAATCTCCCCTGTATAAAGGGAAATGATCCCTTTTACAAAAAAGTATGTTAGATGAAAGGTATATATATATAGTTTATATGGAAACAAAAATTTGTATTGATCCATGCATTTTTCTAAAAGTTATATTAATTTAAAGTTTAAATAATAAAATATGAAATCGTAAATTTTAACACCAATATTGCATGTTTTTTATTTACGGCAACCATTTTTACGTAGAGGATAAGTCATCGGGACAATTTTTTATATTTAATTTATAGTGCGTAATAAGAATTTTAATTTGATATATGTTTAAAGGACACAGTATTTCCATAACATTTTCAAAATTTAGGTTGAAAAAGTTGTACTTTTTATATGTATGATTCAAGTTTTGAACCCCCCTGTATAAGAGAAAACTGCCAGATTTAAAAAAAATATTAATAATCAAATGAAAAGAAATTACTTAAAATTTCAATATAAAAAAAAATTATTTCAATTTGTTCATTTTTCAATAAGTTATGGTAATTTAAAAAAAAAATGTCAAAATTTACTAATTTTAAAAATCATAATTTATTGGAAGATTTTTATTATTTATAGGGAATGAGGGAAAAAGTTGAATTTTTTAGGGTAATGTCTTTAACTAAATACGATTTGTGATCTTTTGACGTATCGTTGAGAAAAATCGGTTAAAATTAATAAATTAAAATAAAAAAATTAAATATTAAATGATTTTTTTTTAATAAGTTTAAATTTTAAACGATTACTTTTTAAATGTTTTTTATTGTAAATGCTTTATAAACGTTTAAATTTTAAATTATTTATAAACGTTTTAATTTTAAATGATATAAACGTTTAAATTTTTACTGTTTAATTTTTTAACATTGAAATTTTAAATGTTTAATAAATCTTTAAATTTAAATATTGAATTTTTAATTTTTTTTTAATAATTTTATGTTTAATTTTAAAACATTACAATTTTAAATGTTTAAATTTTATGTTTTTAATTTTAAATAATTGATAAACGTTTAAATTTTAAATGTATAATAACGTTTAAATATTAAGTATTTCATAATCATTTGACCTTTAAATTTTAAATGATTTATTTTTAAACATATAAATATTAAATGTTTTTTTTTTAATAAGTTTAAATAAATAAAGTACATTTTTTAGATGTACGAAAGTTTCTTTTATATTTTTGTAATTTTAATCTGACAATATAATTAAATTAAACTAATTATTACATGTTTTCACGCGTGGATGTCAAATAATAATTATTATTAAGTATCGAGAAGTATATTATTTATTTATATTTATAAAACATCTTACAAAATATTGTCAAAATATTATTTTTTTATAATATTTTATAAATATACCATTCTTATATTGTGAAAATGTAATATTCGGTGTCAAAGTATATTCTGAGAAAATTTTATAATATTCTGGTTATATTCTATAATTTTTTTAATATCAAAGTAAAAATTTTCATTTCTATATGGGTAGGTAAGTAAAGAAATATATTTTCAAAAAATTTAAACAAATGAAAAGAAAATATTTAATGTTATAAATAAAAAAACATTTTGAATTGTTCATTTTCAAAAAGTTATGACAGTTTCAAGAAACAAAAAATTAAAAATTTACCAATTTTAAAAATCATATACATTTTTTCAATTTCATCCATTTACGTGGAACAAGTAAAAAATTTTCAATTTTTTAGAATTAAATGAGATTTGTAATAATTTATTTGTTGTTTTTAAATTCGGCCCAGTTGAGAAAAAATAGTTAATATCAAATAAAACACATCATGGAAAATTTATACTTTCTCAGCTTCACATCAAAGCTAAAAGCATTTTAGTTAAAATTTTATATACCACAATTTATATATATACAAAAATATTAAAAATGTTAATTGTAAGAGTGCAATACATTTTATTTTAATTGAAATGTTTTAATAAAAAACTCTTTAAATAATACTTCAAAAATTAACTTATGAAAATTAATATTATCTATTGATAAGCTCTTTTTCAGTTGAATTATTGCTGTACCGTTCTTTGTTTTCTAGTGTTAGTTGAATCTGTATAAAAATAGCCGCATAAGCAGCTACTGCTGTAAGGATCTGAAATAATGATTTTGACAAATATTGCATGTATATACAAATTAAATTTTTTCGTAGATTAATTTATCATAATTTTATCATCTTATTACTTAGCAAACGATAAATACGCAAGTACAATCAATGGTATAATTAAAAAATTTTTATGGGGTTTCAAATAATTTTCATAATATAAAATAATGAGAAGTTGAAATTCTCCTCTTCTTTTCTAACAATCATAATTTTATGTCTGTGGGATGTGTTTTTACCGCCTTGAATATTTGACTGAGTACGATTATTAAACTCAATTTTTTTTTAATAGTTATTTTTTTTACATAATTCTATTTGAGAATTAGATGTTTACAAAACCCTAGTGTTAAACCACCCCTGCCACCGTAGTATATGGATGGATGACCAAACGTGCGTTTTACTGTGGCAAAAGCACCAGGTCCCAAGTGTAGAAGGCAACGGAAAACTACTGCACTTATCCCTTCCCTAGTAATATCAGTTGACCTTTGGGTATCTAGTATCCAACACCGAAAAACAGGTAGGAATTAAAAAAAAAGATTTGAGTCTTCATAATTGGGAGGTTGAAGTTTTCAAAGTTGATATTATTGTAAAGTAAAATTGAAGAGCTTAAAAAAATATTTATAGTTCATACATAGATAATTATATCTCCATGACAACGCCACAAAGCTAGATATTTTATGAATTTTTTATTTATTTATTTATCATTATTTTGTTTGAGAAATCCATACTTATTATATTTAAGTTCGTACGTCTTTTGAATGAAATATCTTAGCGAATGGCAGTGCACTAAGTCAATTTCTAGCAATGTTAGTATATCTTAACACGGAAATCTTGTGATTTTTTCAAAATCTTTCTCTTGTTTTTCTAGCCTCCGTGACTCTTAATATGAGCTTTTGAAATTTTAAAAATAGCTTATATCCTAACATCTTATAACACTGTGAAAAATGTAGCCCTAATGTAAAACTATTTCTTAATGATAGAATTTTAAAGTTTTCATTTTTGTTACTAACTGACTGCATTAAAATGTATTATAATACACTAAACCACACTTACCATATAAGCAGAAACATGAAAGGTCTTATAGTATAAAAAAAGGGAGAATTTAGAAAATTGTTATGTTCTAAAATTAAGCGGTCTTACAGATAAGAGCGTTCTTTGATGAAGACAATGAAGTCATCCGTTTGAATTTTCAGTGGCTAAAGAAAATTATGGATTTTACTGGCTAAGCACGAGTATAGAAATGATATCCTCAACAAAAATTTAACTGTGAAAATAGTCCAATTTCCAACTTCCTTCCTCTCAAAGTAATAATACCTACATTGTAGCCAAATTTGCTCTTTCTTTAGTTTTTTAAACTTCAATCCTACTTTCATGAGCAATAAAAAGCTTTAAAGATGGAAATTTAGAAGAAACTAACCTTCAGATCTCCTCGTGAAATTCATTTAGAGTTCTATTTTATTCCTCATTCAAAAACAAACCAAGTATTATGTAAAACAAATAAATGAGCAAATTTACCATATCCACTAAAAAATATACAAAATAATTTGGTCATTTAACCAGTGCCNTCGTTTATGAGATTATAAGTTATTACTTATTGTGTTGGTCTTATTTCATATAATTTGAAGTTTTAATTTTATTTAGTGTCTTAAAAAAATAATTTGTAAATCATTTATTTCATGCATGTTTTTATTTAGTTGTTGTCATAACATTATTTTAAATTGTTATCATAGAAATAAATTAGTTTGTCTTTAGTTAATTTTCTATCTAGTTTTTGTCTATCAAATTTACCATATCCACTAAAAAATATACAAAATAATTTGGTCATTTAACCAGTGCCAAAGGCTTGATATTATATTATAATACTAGTCTTTAATATTGATAATTTGATGATTATATTGACTTCAAGAAAAATTAAAAATTATAATAGGATCACATCAATTTAGCAAGCGCATAATAGATGAAAATACTTACAGATTGTACAAGTTTATAATCTATGTCAAATAAATCATACACGTCAAACGTTATTCGATTATTCCAATAATTAAGAATAAACGCATCAAACTATAAAATAAAGAAGTAATACTAGTATTATTTAAATAATTAACATGATTATATTACTTGTTTAGATTTGACTGGATTAATTGATTTTGAATGTGCTTCATGTGCAATTCGAACTGTTAATTTTGACTAGAAAACCAAAAAATTATTTATAAATACTTTACGGATCTAATTCTTATTCGGAATATATTCTTCCAATAATACCAAGAAATATTCCAAAATTTTATTTTTAAGTTCCCTTTAATATTTTTAATGTTGTAGAATTTTTTATAATTTGCTAATTTATAATTTATAATTATATGAATTGTATGCAAGAGAAAAGGAAATTTACCTTTTAAAATTAAATTATAAAGTTCAATGTAATTTATAATAGATAAAAACTAAAATAACTTTTTTATACTATATTAATAGCTTAGTATATAAAACTTATTTATAATATTTCTCAACATTTATATTACAGAAAAATTTGTTTTTTGTTTAATTACTTACTTCTTCTATTGTGTTGTGGATTTCTCTTGTAAAAATTATGAAAAATATAAGACGACCAATTGAATGTATTGAATAAAATAAGTACATATATATATTTTTTTTAATGTTATGAATTGTTATTATGGACATGCAAGAAACAAAAATAGTCGTGGATTCAACAATAAACATGAGTGCATTAATAGCACCATATGATTTAACATGATTAGTCAAATTTCGAAGTTCTTTGAATAATTGTTCAGCGCCAACTGGATGTATTTCCTCTGCATTTATATTAGCATTAAATAAATCTATATTTAAATATCAATATGATAATAAAATATTTACAGGCACAATATGTATATTATGTAGGATAGGTTTTATTAGTTTAACTAGTGTCAATAATTTATTTACATACGAAATTTCACTGTAATTTTAATGATAATTACTTAAACTTTAACTAAATTTTAGATAATTGAATGATCAGTCTTACATCCTTCTATTTCCTAAAATTAACATACTACACAGAGAGTGGTAGCTCTCTGTAGCATGGTAAGGAGTCAAAGATGGTTCTTGGCTTGGCCAATGATATACAGGACGGGTATAATGACAGGCTTGTACCAGACACTACCAATGAAAAAATCATAAGAAAATTTTTGTTAGATGCCTAGGGATCGAACCCAAAACCTCATGCGTCGAAACATACATTTCTACCCATTAGCTCAAATCGACCCCTTAAATTTTAGATAAATAGATAAAANTGGCCAATGATATACAGGACGGGGGTATAATGACAGGCTTGTACCAGACACTACCAATGAAAAAATCATAAGAAAATTTTTGTTAGATGCCTAGGGATCAAACCCAAAACCTCATGCGTCGAAACATACATTTCTACCCATTAGCTCAAATCGACCCCTTAAATTTTAGATAAATAGATAAAATATTTATCGAAGAATTTTTTTTCCAATTTATTTGTAGATTTTTTTTATAAGTTCGTGTCCTAATCGTATAATAACAATAAAACTAATTCTTGATACATGACCGGATAAGAAGGTAGTATTTTAAAAAAATACTGAATAAGGAGTACCCAAGAGAGTTATTAGATAATATCTCATGGAACGAAGGACTGGTAAATTTAATTAGCGAGAAAGAGGTATGGTAGGCTGTGGCGTGAATTAAAAATAATTAAGCCGTAGGGCCAGATGAAGTGCCAATAGAAGTTTGGAAAATATTAGGCGTTGTTGGCATAAGGTAGTTGAAGGATCTATTTAATAAAATTTTATTGGAAAGTAAAATGCCAAAAGAATGGAATAATAGTATTTTGGTGCTCATATTTCAAGACAAAGGAGATAAACAGGATTGTAGGAATTATAGGGGCATAAAGTTTTTAACTCATAGTATGAATATTTGGGAAAAAATAATGAACAAAATAATAAGAAAAGAAATATCAGAAACAAAAACCAATTTGGTTTTTTTTTTTTGGAAAGTCAACAATGGAGTCAAAAAGAAGAATAAATGAGGTTTATAACTTTCAAACTATAAAAACAAATAATTAAATTCTTATAATAGTATCTATGTAGGATTTTTTTATACTCTCAAATATCATAACAAGCTTCCATAAGAAAAAACCGAATTCTGAATTTATTATTCTTTTGATTTTATAATCAATAAATTACTAATAAAAAATTAATTATTCTATAAATAACTTACATTTCTTAAAAAAAGCATTGGCTATTTCATATCGTTTACGTAATGTTCTCACAAACACAGCGTAATGTACTACGGATAAAATCGTCAGACAACAAACAATAACTCTAACAATTATCACCATAGATATAGGAAGTACTTTTATAAGGTAAATCAAGTGACAAGTTCCAAAAAAAACAATGTAACATACATAAAACACTTGGATTCGTTTATTAGGAGCTAAATGTACTTTTAAATATATCTTATCGAATGCATCGAACTTTCCCAATAGATCAAAAAAAATTGACGTTTGAAAAGCTGATCTTATGATTGTCATAATTGCTGTTATATTCTGTACCCAAATTTGAGTGTATATTATCTATATAATAAAAATAAATTATTATAAAACAATTTTTAAACAATATATATATGATGGAAAATGTTTTATGCCCACCTTTAGCACAATTTGATGTTTATGCTGTACATCAAATATATCATAGTAAATATTTACATTAAAGTCATAAGTGTAGTAAAATAGGATAATCCACATTAAAATTGTATATATATGACCAAAAAAAAAACGGTTATTAATCAAGGGAAATAATCCTAAAGCTTTACTCGTATAATATAGAATAAAATGATCGTCCCAAGAAGAACTCATTTTCCTATTTGTAAAAATAAATGTACTCAGCTTTACTTTTTATACTAAACATTTACTTGACACAATTTTTTTGTTAGCCTTTCCGTCAAAACTTTACATATCATAGTAACCACATAATTAATTATTGAATGCACTCGTAGGCTCATGCACGTGTAATTTTTGTAGCACACTAACACAACTCTCTAGAATAGAACAACTATTTTTAATTCATTACTATTATTATATATTTAGACATAAGTTTATTTTATTTTCCTATATGATTGTTTTCATTGTATCACAAACAACGCAATTTATATTATTATTTCAAATTAAAAAGATATTTAAGACGTTTACCTCCAAACATTTAAAAATAATATGAATGTGTACCTACAAGTAATATTATACAATTCATTTAATATTTTATAACATTAATAAATCTGTAAATTTTCTAATTTATAAAATTAGTGAAGCTGTTTACTAAAATTTTTCATTTGGGAATAAGGACGTCAGTAACAAATGATTCATTAATAAATATTTTTAAGACTAAAAGGTAAAATTATTTAACACCAATTAATTTTAAATTGGTTAAAAAAAAAATAATTCTTTCTCTAATTTATAATTTTATTGAATTCTTTAAATATTTATAGAATTTCATATACAAGGCGTTGAAGTAACTATGCGTTGAAATTGACGTGTGGTAACTCATTCGACTACTAACAGCAACAGGAAAAGCTTAACTTCAGAACATAATTACATCTAAAATATATACTGTGCCACACTGAGTCCCTAATAATATCCTGTATTCCATAATTTACAAAAAAAAAATTGGTCTTATAACCTCTTTCATTTTTTCAAAATAGTTTTAACTTAAATTTTTAAAATGTAAACACACATGTTTAACTAGTTAAAAATAAGAAAATAATCTAACTAAGAAAATTAATGGTCTATAATAATTCGTAAGTTATAACTTTAATACATATATGATTAAACATCCATATTTCTAAATAAATTATTTGTTGGTTTGGGTTTATCTAACATCAAATGTTAATTGTATTAGTATGAATAGATGTATAAGTAATAATTAGTAAGCATCTATCGCAAATAAACCTTATTCCAACCGTAAAAGTTTTACTAAAATATAATTATAATATGTGATTCATTTAACGTTAGCTACTCGATTTCTCTTAAAATAATTATTATTTTAAGAAAATTATTTTTGTTTTATTTACCCATAACATGAAATTTCTTAAAATTTGTAGCATGACCAGCAAAACAAATCAAACACATTCAATGCAATTTTCTAATGTCAACATTTCAAAATAAACATTTTTAACTACAAAACAAAATCTGTTAAATTAAGTCATTTATGTACATCCCAAAATCTAAAAATATATATATAAAAATTAATTAAGTTATTTTGTGCTACCACATTGTAACATTGTAACCTAGCAACACTTGTATACAGAGTGATCGATTATGACTGTTTTTCTCTGATACTATTGAGTAATTTAAATTTTTTTAAAGGAAAATATTGTTTAGATCAAAAAATCTACAATAATATATAATTTTATTCCTCCAGGAATACAAATTTAAACTTATATTATATAAACGTTCAATTAGAACCTTATTAAATATTTTTTCTAAATATCTTTACATACTAGTATTTCAAAATAATAATACAAAACTGATTTAAGTCGAAATTTTATTTAGACCATTCTTCGATTAATAGCAAAAAAATAATAATTTGTTCCCATTTAACTTTCGAAAGTTACTTCTAAAATCTATAATTATGAATCATTTTCATGAAGTAAAATAGATATTTATAATAGCTTATAAAAATAAATAAAATTTTAATTTGTACATTTTTATGAAAAAATGGGGTAGTAATCTAAATAAATCTCACACTATATATTTTTTTTGATTAATTAATTGATAAATGATAAAAGAATCATTTTGTATATATTATAGCTGTTTTTAGGAAAAAAAAATAAAAAATTTTAACGGTGTCTTATTCGAATTTACATTTTTGATGTTCAAAAATCAACCTCGATAAATTTTAAATAGTGATTTTTTGAATACAATAGATAACGTATTTTTATTGGTAAGTCAAGAAAATTAGCAAAACCCTGTTTTTAACATAAGTTATCAAAAAAGCTGATAATTGTTAGCTTTTGGATATAAATACATATCTAATTTTTAATATGGGAACATTTATGTTTCATGTTAATATAATTCAATGTGTTTTATATGAGTTTTATAGTACACGATCATTTTGCAGAATAATTTATAAGTAAAATAGTGTAAAAAGTATAATAATATTGAGCATTGATTTCTGAAATTAAAAAATGTCATGCTATACTTGAACATAATATTTTTTGAAGTGTTTAAACAGAAGAGTAAAATATCAATACAAAGTTAATAAGAAGGGTCAACAGTATAATAAATTATTTGTAGAATAGTTTTTTTTATTTGAAAACAATTTATTGATTCAGATAACAACAAAATTAGTATTAATTAGAATAAAATATGTTAAATTAAGTTACTTTTAATAAAAATTATTGTGTACATTAAATTGTAATAACCAAAAGAAAGATAGAAATATATATATTGGGAAACTGTTGTAAGTGTATGAAGAGAGTGTTATGGGGAGAAGTGTAGAATGTATACTACTTGTTGAGGGGAATACTAAATTCTAATAGTTATTACTTAATAAATGTAGTTAGTGTATTAAAACTACTCTTACCTGATATTCTCTAATGATGAATGAATCTTGAGTGTAGATTTATGATTACTAAGAATATACCCAAGATTCTAGTAGGTGTGTTAATAAACGAGAATAGCACTTGGTTAACAGAAGCGTATTTATTATTGTAGAAAAATGTTAGTTATTTTCACAAATGTATATTTTAAGTTTAGTGTTAAAAGTTAAAATTATAGACTCACAGTATAAAGAATATGCCAAAATACGTAGGAAATAATCTTAAAGGTTTAATTAGATAAAAGCAATTATTAAGTAAGAGAAAAATGAACGAGTGACTGACTGGAAAAACAGTGTCCTCAGCCTTTATATAATGTACCACAAAAGTCATAAACGGGGATTGGGCGTCCTGAATGTGTCATACTTTTTATAGGCACATTCAGTCATCATTCCATATTTCAATAAACGCAAAAGAATTATTATATTTTAATTTCCTTTTTTTAGTACTTTAGTGGTGCCTGGAAGACGGCACGAAAGACAATGATTCACGTTTATTTTATAGTTGCCCAAAAGTTAATACCATATGTATAATCGTATTAGCATATTCTTTTCTGTGGTCTTAGAAATACAAGAGGTATTGATTTTAGTAATATTCCAAAGGAGAATATTACAAAATATAACAATAATTATTATTTTTAATCTACAATAATTTAATAGTAAATATATATATGTATATATATACTAATTTTTCGTGTTTTATTAAGGACTGAAACCATGTGTTTCTTATAAGTTCCGGTTTTTTTTTTAAATATTTTAAGGTACCGGTTTAGTACGAGTTCTTAAAAATTGAAGTCCCGTTTCCCAAAAATAAAAGTTCAATCCATATGATTAAAATTTAAGTAAAAACATTAAAGTTAAAATTCAATTAAAAAAAGTCTCAGAAAATAGCAAATGTAGGATTCAAATGTTTTTCCATTACATTGTAAAATATTGGTTGCTGTAAGGCATTTATAGGAGGAATGATAAGTGGATCACCTTTTTCTTTGACACAAGAATTGCTTTAAAATATCATAGTTAAAGAGTAATAATATTGTATAATATTTTTTAATTTTAACCTAATTTGATACAAAATGATTTTTTATTTTATGAATAAAAAGTATTTATTCTATTTTATACATTATAATATGTAATATATAATTTTGTCAATCACAAAGTCTTGGACACATCCAACCAAAATATTTAAAAGTCAAATTGTAAAACAAGTAAAATCTAATAATAATCAAAATTTAATTTTACTAACCATGATAAAAAATAATCAGGTATAAAAATAAATTTCAGAATTAATTTTTAATCAATTTTTAATAATATTTATTTTATATAATAATGGTAAAAAATTTTATACATATTTATTTAAATTTCGCTTCGAAAACTCTTATCTTTTATAATAAATCTTGTACTTATATTATGAAATACATCTACGAATAAACTTATTTGATACACTTTAGAGCAGTCTTTACACGTTGATGTCTTATTTTTGTCACAGTAGATAAATTAATTATTATTAACAAATTTACTTATACCCATGATTTCTCAGGTAGATATTGTTATTATATATATTTTATTAATTTTATTTAAAAATATCATTAACATGAAAAAATGGCACGCGTTTACTTATGGATATATATGTATTATTTGAAATAGGAAGGCACATGTCAAAGTCGGTTGAAAAAACCCAAGAAACGCAAGCATATAATATTACTATAATTTCTATTAATGACTATCGCAGTCATAAATAATAATTCAGAGCCTATAGTAAACAAACAGGTGATAATTTTGTTTTAAATATGATTTATTCATTCTAAAAATAGAAATATAATATTTTGTGGGCAATCAACATTCCTTGTAACTCTTGATTAGTTTATAAATTTTACTTTGACAAACTATAACTTTCACTAATTTTTGTCAAAATAATTCTCATTTGTAATCAAAAATATAAAACGTTGTTAGAATTTTACAAATAAAATACAACTTGACGGCTAAGAACTGTTTAAACGAACCTTTATTATTACATGTTTTGATTCGATTCTGGTTCGTGGCTATCTGAAAATAAAAATTCCTATTCTGATTCGGGTTCGGGTTCTAAAAATTTAAAGGTTCCGGTTAAAGAACTGTTTTTTAGGTTTCTTCGAGCCCCAGTGTTTTATATCAAAACATAGTTAAATTATACAGATGTTCAGAAAGTAAGGAAACAGATCAATTTTTATAAAAAATGAGAACAATAGAGACCCGTTTCCTTACTTACTGAACATTCTATATAGTTGCAATACATACGATTTTATAATATGTTCATTTCTAGTTCTTGTTGCAGTACTTTTCCAAAAAAAAATTGTTTTGTTACTTATGAATAAATATGTTATTTTTCACGCTGATTTCAAATCTATAATTGTAGCATCTATTTAAACACTAAAAGTTACATAGAAATGATTTATTTCGATATTCATAAAAAAAAAATTGTGATTTTAACGAAATTTTAAGCTGCTCTAACAAATTTAATGTAATATCAATTCCTGACCATATATCATTCTAAAATAAACCATTTTTAAAATCATCATAATATTTTATATTTAATGATAAAAATTTAAACTTGCAATTTGAGCAAGAAAAGTTTAAAAGTTCAACATTTTTAATTATAAATTTTTAAGAACTGTAATTATGACATTTTAAATCGAAATTTTGCATGGACCCTTTTTATCTTATTTAAAATCAAAATCAATTGTTATAAGTCAATAGTCGTTTTTTCATATTATTAATTATCTAAAATATTGGTTAAATGAGAGCTGAGAAAAATGATTAATTTTTTTTTATCAGTAATCCACTGATTAACAATAAAACACTTAATAAAATAATTTTAGTATGAGTATGAAATTCCTTCTCACATGGGGAGACTGCAGTGATGGGGGTCGTTTTTGATATTCATTAAAATTAATCAATCTAAATGAAATAACAATCAACGACTTTTGAACATTTTTCCTATACTCAACAAGAATTACAAAAAAAGTGCAGAAAAGCTGCGACGGGTATGGTGCGAACCTCGTACGTGAAATATTATAATAAAACGGTGCGATAATTGTTTATCACATTTATAAGCTGATTTCAAGCTAGCTCATTTTTCTCGACTTAAAAGAAGCAAAATAATAAAATAAGTTTAACGTTACATTCTGTCGTTTAATTCATATAATTTTTATAAAAATCATTGGCCTATCCATGAAAATTATATTAAAATAAAATAATCGCCTAGTTTAGACAATTTTATATTGCATTTTTTTGGAGGGAATGGGAGTTGGAAATATAAATAATTTTTAAAAAGATATTAAAGTTATCAGTCCTAATAAATATTTTCAAATATAAATGCCAATGTAGTTTATTTTAATTTTTTAAAAAAAAATTTCAAATTAGTGTTTGTATAACAATTTATTAAATTTCTGAATTTTGCAATTTTCACACAAAAATCATACTTTTTAATACTTTTACAATTCCTGATGACATTATTTTATTTAAAATAAAGGATATTACATAAGATTTAACTTAATTTATACATAAGTGTTAGGATCACACATTAAGTCCTGTGAACTATATTATGTTAAGTTGAAGAATTTCTAATTTTTTACGCCTATTTTAAATTTTAAAAGTCCCTTGTATAAGGGGAAGATGTCAGATAATTGAAAGAAGGATGTCAAATGCAAGAGACTTGTATAGGTCTTTATAAAAAAATAATTACTGACCCAAACATTTTTCAAAAAACTATAGTAATAATATAGTTGAAGTTCAAAGTATAAAATCGAGAATAAAAAAAATAGTCTGTTTTTAAATTTGGTAGCCGTTTATAGCACTAATATACATACTGAGGACAACATTTTTTTTTTTTTTTAAATGAAATATATAACATAAAATTTAATTTAAGAAATATATAAAGATGTTTGAATTACCAGAACACTTTCAAAAGTTAAGTTGAAAGAGTTAACTTTTCATGTAAAAGTTTTTCAAGGTTATTTTAGTTTTAAGTAAAAAAATTATATTGTAATTCAATATATTACCCTCAAAATTGAATATAATTGCAATGCATTTTTTGTGTAATAATCTTGAGTTTTTTATATTTCTATAACACTCTAAATAATTTGAAAATAAAACTATGAAAGCATTCTATAATAGAGATTTTCATTGTAATGAATAAAAATTCAAATATAATAAGTCGTAACTGTATTTAATTTTTTTATTTTATAATATAGGTAATTATTGTGTAAAATAGATTTGTTTTACTAGAAATATAATATTTTAAAAATGCCAGTCAAAAATTTTGTTGAAAAAACTATTTACAAAAATATTTTTTAACGCTATCTATGATTATTATATTGAATCATTTCTCGCTTGATTATTACCAAGTTAACATAAGAACTACTATAGCAAAACAGTAAAAAAAATTTGTATGCATCAATTTTTTTATTATTCTATAAAATCACTATTAAAATGTTATTTATTATTTAAAATATAATAACCAAATTACTTATTACTTTTTCAGTTATTTTAATAAATTTACATAAAGAACTACTTTTAAAATTTTTTAGCTTATTTAATGAAATTTAAACAGAGGTTCATATACCTTGGTAATGTTATATATTGATATGTAATAAAAATACTAGACAGTGGAGATGTGGTATAGACGAGACAAGTATAGATTTTATCTAATATTAATTAAAATCAACATCACACAAAACGCTTCAATGAGATGCTGTTGATAGTATTTTAATTTTAGAAGGAAGTATTAGGAATATTTCCAAAATCAAATCAATTATCATTAGTTGATTACAAGTTTTATAATTTATAAGTATAATTGAGGAACAAACACTTATTATACCGATTGAATTTAGTATGAAATGGATCTTCAATAATTTAGTACTGTAATTTTAGCGGAATAATTTTAAAATGTTATAAAATAGTTGTGTAACTTATATACCTGGCAGAATTTTTTTCCGAATACTGTAATCATATTTTAATAATTACTTATATAATCAAAAAGAAATGAATAAACCTAAAATAAGCAATTTCTATAGTTATCAATACATAAGGATTTTGATAGATGTAAATTTATTCTAAATACAAACATTTTATCGTAAAAATTATTTTTCTAAATAAGAGTATTCGGTGCTTTTATATTTTGTAATACATTTAGGAATACTTAATAAAAAAAAAAACATTATAATGCAAAATGTGAATATTTAAAATTTTAGTGGAAACGAGGGAAATTTGTTCAGTTTTTGGGGTGTAATGTTTTTGACTAGATACGATTTGTGATCTTTTGACGTATCGACGAAAAAAATCAATTCGGTGAGAGCTGAAAAAAGGGGTAACAGACACAAAAAAAAAATCATAGTAAAATTAATATCTTCTGAGATTTGCATTGAAGCTTAAATCATTTTTAGATTTCGTATAAAGATTCAAGAAAGTATTCTTAGAGAATTTCAAAAAAGTATTCTATACAAATATAATAATTTATACGTTTTATTTTTATTTTACAAACATTTTACAAACATTTATTTTAAACAAAGTATTTATAAATTTAAACCAAGTCATATAGCTTGACGCGTTTTAGACATCTTAGGTTATTGAAT